CACAGAAGATAAGTACAAACTCCGATTTTGGTTGTAAACTCTTTAGGAAGATAAGTCTTTCTGTCTGTACTGTTCTTCCTTGACCAGTCAATGGCCAACTTTCAATTGGTGCCTGCTCCAGTGACTGCTATGGTGGATTTTGGAGTTGGATATACAGGAAGGAAGACCTCAGTAGGGATATAGTCCAGACACCCAGCCTAAAGGAAAAAAGTCAAATGACACACCCAGGGACAGATATAGACCACACAAAAAGAAAGAACAAGAATACACCGATGAAGCTGTGTGAGGGCCACAGTGGGATTAATAGAAAATTGGCAGTGGATAAGTTCTTATTGATTGATTAAATTTCATAATGGAGCTGTGGATTAATTAATGAACAGTTTTCTTCTCTGGAGAGTCAAGTTCATCCCAGCACTACCACTGTAATGTAAACTTGGACAAACTTCTTCGGGACTTAGTTTTTCCACTGAAACAATGGAAACAATTCCCACCTTATCTCCTTGGCGTGAGGATGAACTAAAATAATATTTGAAAACAGCATGGTCCTTGGCATAGAGGAGACTCACTTATTTATGGATGTGTCATTGTATGTGGATTTTAGGGGTAAATGTTCATAAACTTACTGGTATTCAATTCCTACTGTACACCATGCTAATTCCTTGTCTCTGTGCTATTTTTTAAGAATTTTTTTTCACAATACCTTTTTTTCTTTTTTCTATTTATTTATTTATTTATTTATTTTTATATGGTGGTAAGGATCCAACCCAGGGCCTTGCACGTGCTACTGCTGAGCTGCAGCCCTAGCCCTCTCTGTGCTTTCTTTAGAATTCTCCAGGGAAGCTGGAGTCAAGGAAAACAGAAGACTTCTCAGTCAGAATACTTTCTCTTGCTATGATTCCTGAATGAGCAAGCTCTTCAACCTTGGAGCCAATTTCCTCATGCATCAGTCAGGGATCCTGGTTGCAGGAACTGCACCAACTCTGGTTATATCAACCAGAACTGGAATTTACCAAAGAAATACTGTACTGCTGACTCCCAAGATTGACAGGAGTTAAAGGAACAGGCTTGGAAATTCAGCTGTGAGCAAAGGGTTTGTAGAGAAAGAAAAACAACCTTTTCTTAGCTGGACAGGAGAGGTCCAACTGTTGGGCACTGCCACAAAGTGCCACCATCAGATATATCACCACTGCTTCAAAGGATATCTACTCTTTTCTCCATCTTTGTGCCTCATATGCAGCAGCACCCTGTTGGCTAATCCTGGATTCTGTCCATTTCAGGGAAAGGTTCACTTCTATGGTATCCATGGTGGTGTCCACAGTGTGATATTCAGCTTTCCTTCTCATTGATGCTATCTACAGCAGGGGATTCGTCCCAAACAGAAAGTGGGTCAGATTCTGGACCACCAATCCCCTTATCTAATCAGTAAAATGGGCCATTTATCATCAGGCAGTAAACAGCATTTAATGACACATWTATTCAAAAGAACCTGGCATATAAAAAGCATTCTGTCATTTTATTTTTCTCTTTAATAAAACAAAAGGTTTGAAATGTACTTACCCAAAGATTTGATCAATGTGCTTACAGACATTGATGTTCTGATTTTTTGACCTGGGGAAATGCTGGGAAACACCATCTCTGAAGGATGGAGCTGCAGGCAAAGCAGCAGAACAGGAGAGCACAAGAAATGGCAAGTTTAAATCCTAGCTTTTGATTGTTGTCTTGGACTGGCAATGCAACTCCATCTCCATCTCATTCACCTTTAAAACTGGTCTAAAAATTATCTGAAGTCATACTTCAAAATAAGTTTTAGAAGGTTAATATTTGTTTTCAAAAAAGAATATCTTATCAAGAAGAGGTTGTATTCACTGTTGTGAATTATTTTCAGTAGTTGTTTTTGGAATGGGATTGATTCCCCACSTATTGGCATTTGCCCCCAAATAACATTTACCTAATTGTAGATAATTAGTTTATCAAAAAAACAATTTTTTTTTCTGCTTCCACTCAAATAGGAATTACCTTGGATTTTACAATTTTAGATTTTCTTTGCCGTGATTCTACTCTATCAGGGTGAATTGATTTCAATTGAAAGTTTACTCTATATTCGAATCCTATTTTTAAAAAGGAATTTAATCTAAAATTCAATTATGGAAGATGTCTGCCAAAGTGAAAAGTCAACTAGCACTTACTGAATGCTCCCTGGGTACAGAGCTCCATCAGGATACTACAGGATGAGTCAAAAGAAATAGAACTATTGTCCCTATTCACAGACTTCTCAGTTCAGAATAAAAGAATTTTAGGACTAGAAGGGACCTTAGAGATTCTCCAACCCACTGACTTTCAAATGAGGCTGGTATCTCAAACTCTGAGCTTCTGAAGAGTTTCTCAGAGGTTCCAAGGAAGTGGGGGTCTAATAGGGATAGGGTAGGCCAAGTGGAGCAAACCTGATTCTCTTTCCATTCATTAAAAAATCTTAAGTTCATTAAGTTCAATCCCAATATCAAAAAAAGTAACTTTTGAATCTAGCCACTTCTTTCCATCTTTCTTGTCCCATTCAAATTCTAGCTGCTCATAGAAAAAGGGTCCTAACTAGTCTCCCTAATCATTTTTGTATACTTTAATCCATCCTTCACTTAGTAACCAGGACAATCTGACTAAAACTGAAGTCAGATCACACTGCTGCCCGTCTAAAATCTGGGGTTGTAGCTCAGAGGTAGAGTGCTTACCTAATGTGGGTGAGGCACTGGGTTCCATCCTCAGCACCACATAAAATAAATAAATAAATAAAATTAAGATATTGTGTCCATCTACAACTAAAAAATATTTTTAAAAAATCTGACATCATTCCTGATTTCTCTATTACTCTAGTGCCTCACATCTAATCCACCAGGAATTCCTATAAATTTTAGTTTCAAAGTATCTCTTGAGCCAGGCATGATGGCACACACCTGTAATCCCAGCAGCTCTGGAGGCTGAGGCAGGAGGATTGCAAGTTCAAAGCCAGCCTCAGCAACTTATTAAGACCTTAAGTGACTCAGCAAGACCTCTGTCTCTAAATAAAATATTAAAAAGGGCTGGGGATRTGGCTCAGTGGTTAAGAGCCCCTGAGTTCAATCTCAATACCAAAAAAAAAAAAAAAAGTATCTTTTGAATCTAGCCACTTCTTTCCATCTTTCTTGACCCATTCAAATTCTAGCTGCTCATAGAAGAAGGGTCCTAACTAGTCTCCCTAATCCTTTTTGTATACTTTAATCCATCCTTCACTTAGTAACCAGGACAATCTGACTAAACTAAAGTCAGATCACGCTGCTGCCCATCTAAAATCTTTTGAATGTCCATTGTACGAAGAATAAAATCCAAACTTTGTATCACTAACTACAGGAGCTTGGCCTCATGTTCAATCATATCATGTTGCTTTGTTTCTTGTCCTTGCTCCAGCCATGCTGGCTATCTGTCTGTTCCTAGAACCCACCAAGCCCTTTGCCTCCACAGGCATTTGCTATTACTGTTCCTTCTGCCCTTATTCTCCTCCATCTTCATGTGGCTGCTTCTGCCTCTTCTTTCGGGTGTCAGCTTAATTGTTACATCCTCAGAGAGCCTTCTCTAACCACCCCCCCCCATACTCTAAAATAAAGACCTGTGGGCTGGGGATGTGGCTCAAGGGGTAGCGCGCTCGCCTGACATGCGTGCAGCCCGGGTTCGATCCTCAGCACCACATACCAACAAAGATGTTGTGTCCGCCGAGAACTAAAAAATAAATATTAAAAAAAAAAATTCTCTCTCTCTCTCTCCTCTCTCACTCTCTCTTAAAATAAAATAAAATAAAGACCTGTTATTTTCTATCATGGAACTCTGTTTACTTCCTTTACAACACAAACAACAATCTGTAATTGTTTTGTGTATTCCTTGTTTATAACTAGTTTCCCCTACAAAATTGTCAGCTCCATGGGGGCAGGGACATGTCTATTTTGCTCTGCATTATGTCCTGACACCCAGCACAAAGCAGTTGACACATAGGCAGAAGGTTCTCCGCACATTCTTACTGAATGAATATGTAACAGAACTTTGCTTGGAATGGCAGAGAAGACTTGGGCAAAGGTTAGAGGCATGGATGGAAGGTTAGTAGACAAAAGGGATGGAGAAGGCGAATGGGAAAGAAAAAACAGTTCAGAAAATGATCCTAAGGCCAGAGAGGGCATGGCATTTTTGAGAAATTATATGAAAATTAATTGAGACTGGAGTGTGGAGAGCAAGTGGGAGGGCCATCTGAGATGGGTTAGCAGCACTGGGCAAAGCCACACAGTATTTCTCTCCTGGGAGCCAAACCACAGTACTGAGAACAGAGAGGACAGAATTTCCCAAAGGGAAGTCAAGGTGTTCCTGATGAAAGAAGGACAGTCCCTGTCTTCAGAATTTTTTTATTATTTATTTTTTAGTTATTGGCGGACACAACATCTTTGTTGGTATGTGGTGCTGAGGATAGAACCTGGGCCGCACGCATGCCAGGCAAGCGCGCTACCGCTTGAGCCACATCCCCAGCCCAGTCCCTGTCTTCAGAACAGTGTTCTTTACATCTTTCCCTGCCCTCATCCCACCTCTCCCCTGTAATAGTTTGCTGATCTTTTAGGTTTCAATTCYTTCTGCTATTCCTTTAGGAAGCTATCAGATGTCCCCAAACCCTGAGCTAGTTCTTGCCTTGCTTCTCCTCCCTGCATCTCACCTGCACTGCAGTTGCTCTAGTCCCACCCTCTGTTCCTCAAATAGCAGTAAGCTCCTTGGGAGCAGGGATCTCCTTTTTCTCTATCATGATTCCAGCACCAAATAGCATTCCTAGCACATAAAGGTATTCAGATAAATGCATGTGGAATGAATAAATGAATCAGTGAAATAAACATTCCTTTCAAGAACTTTGTTCCTGGAATTTCAGCCACAAAAGCCTCCATTTAGCTTCCTCTTCCTGCATCCATCCATTGTTTGGCCAGCCACAGGCTGGTCAGCAGCTTGTAAGAGCCCCAAACACTCCTCCAAAAGGCTTCTTGACTCAGACCCTCTGCTGGGAGCCAGTCTTCCCTTAAAAGGCCACCTTATCGGAAGTGCCTCTGATGGCATTTATGAGCTCTATTTTTATCTACATTGGAAAGCCTCAAAGTTAATTCCCAAGCCAACAACATTAAACTCAGGAACGTGGATGAGCAAGGAAACATCTTGATGATGGCTTTGAGTCACAGCTTTGTTTTCTGTGGTAAGGGCCTYGGATCCTCCCCATCATTGACCCTTGTTTTTAAGGACTGGCTAACTCTAAAATGCCTTTGATCCTCCATTCATTAAAACTAGATCCTGTAGCTTTTAATAGTCTATGCAATGGTGTCATCTTCCCTAAGTTTCACCTAACTCTGGTAAGGCCCTCGGAGCAGAGCAGAGCAGACTGCCAAACAGTTTCCAGTTTATTCAAACTGGTTTCCCACTCCCACTCCCTAATGGAAATTAGTTCTGGATCATCACAGGAGGCTGCTGTGGCCAGAGGGGAAGGCTCCCATAGAGGCCAAAGAAATAATTGGAAGAATCTACAGAAATAAGGAGAGATATCCACCGGGGCTGGTGAGCAGTTGAGGGCCTGTGCCAAGGAAAGGATTCACTGTCAGAACCACAGAAATGGAGAGCAAGAAAGTGTGGAGAGAGGGGAAAGACAGAGAAGGACCAGAGGAAAGGAGGGCTGTGAAAGGGAAGGAAGGAAACAGCAGGAATGGAAGGGGATCATAGGTAGCTTGTGCAGAGGGAAAGGAGAAAGAGGAAGTGTGCCTTTTCCCTTTAATCCAAGTGGGGCAAATTGGGAAGAAAGGGGCTTAGAATCAGGTGGCAACCCCAGGGAGATGCTTTACTAGAAATTCTAATATGTGGATTAGAAAAGAGCCAGGAAGGTATTAAGGAATCTTCTCACTTCCAGATTCAAGACACTGRGTCAGCATTCCTGCCTCTGGAAATTTAGGAAAAATAGGTATTGTCCAAATGACTCAATTCACTTTTGATTCTGTCCTTTCCCTGAGCAAAAGCCTAAACAATTCAGGATCCTTGCCCCACTGTCTCTGCCCTCTCTTCCCTTATTCCCTTTTCCCCAAGACCACACACAGCTTGGGACCACAGTCCCCTGGGTGCTCCTGTCTCAGTTGGTCACTCTGGGACAGAAACCTGATCTAGAGCTTGGAGTCTGGGCCAAGTTAGCACTGCCTGCAGGAGGGATTGCTTCCTGGGAAGTCCTACTTCAAGCTTCTGGCTGGCCTAATGCTGGGTAGGGAGCATAGGAAATGTGGATACCGGGGTGGTTTTGGCTTTCAAGGTACCTCTCTTCAGAGAGAGTGAAGCATGGGACAGAAATTTCCATAGACCAATCTAGAAAGTGACTCCAACCCACTGAGATGGCCCCAGTACCCTCTGATCTGTCCCATTCAGAAAATTGCCACTTCCAAGCCTCCCAGGTGATTTCGGGGTCAAGATGGAGGCTCTGATTCTTGAATGATGTAGTTACTTCTCAGAGAAAATATACCTTCTGAAGCTCATGTGTCTACTTTTCAAAGATATGTCCTTATTCACTGGGAGGGGGAGAACGCATATGGGTTGCTCCGTGTGGGCGTGAGGCAGCATCCTTGCTGGATAAAAAGGACAGCACACCTTTCATGGAAAGTAGCAGACTACTCAGGGGTCAAGTGCCTGCTTTGCTTCTGGGGGCTACAACAAGGAGTGTAAGCCACCCCCATCCTTCTCTTTTACTTGGGAGTTTTGATTGCTCATAAGTGTCCTCCCCCAACGCAGGGTAAAGGATCATTTTGATGATCCCGTTTTGGACAAGTGAGAAGAGAAAGCCTTTTAATTCTGATCTGCATGACTGCTTGCTATGCAGTGGGCACTCGGGTGGGTAGGCAGTGGGTGGCAGCAGCTGCCAGACACCTTCCCCTGAGGATGCATCAGTTGGTGCCAAAAGCCTATCTAAGCTCTTTCTGATCTCTGTGCCAGGGGCAGCCAGTCCTGGAAGGAAGCCAATAAGTCCACCATGAGACCTGCATTCTTCTCCTCCCMCTCATCCTCCAAGAACAAGAAGGAGTAGCTTGAGAGCCCACAGGAAAAGGAGCTGATGGGTCTTGGACACATTTTCCAGCTGTCACACCTGCTAACATGGGAACTCACACTTGTATGCACACACTCACACTCAGCAATAAATTCAGAATCAGGCTTTCTTGTTCCATCTGTCCTCTGCCCAGAGCAATGGCAATAAGAACTTCCATCAATAAACTGTTGTTCCCACTTTGTCTCCTCCCTCTCTCCTTCTTTTCTCCCTTCCACCAATATTTATCAAACTCTTAGATGAGCCCGTCACACTGCATTAGGGGTTAAAGATACAAATATATAGTCTTGGGATTAAAAACATCTATGAGCACTAATATGATAAAAGGCGGGCTGGGATTGTAGCTCAGTGGTAGAGCACTCGCCTAGCACATGTGAGGTCCTGGGTTCGATCCTCAGCACACATAAAAATAAATAAATAAAATAAAGGTATTGTGTTCAACTACAACTAATAACTTCTTTTAAAAAAAAAAGCAATGATGCAAGTGGTGCAGTATGGAAGGTGACAAACTGGTGGCCCTGGGCCAAATCTGACCTGCTTATATGTTTAATCTGGCAAAGAATTCCAAAAAATGGGAGAGTTCATGAAAAATCAGGATTTCCAGCTTTTCTTTTCTTTTTTTTAATGTTTTTTTTTTTTTTTTAGTTTTTTAGGTAACACAATATCTTTATTTTTATGTGGTGCTGAGAATCAAACCCCAGTGCCTCATGCATGCCAGGCAAGCACACTACCACTTGAGCCACATCCCAAGCCCCAGCTTTTCTTAAAATAACAAATTTGGCCTCAATCAGGAAGTGAAAAGTCACGCACATTGTAGGTGGGACAGGCACTCTCAATTTATCACAGGTCATAGTCCCCTTCACCGGCTGCTCACTCCCTTCCCTACTGACTTAAACCTAACTGCTTCACTCCTGCATGTTCTCAGCAATGATTTTGTGGGTGTTGGGACTTAGAACCTTCAACATGAAAGCCATCAGAGGCCCTAGGTATGAACAGTCAACTCTATTTGAGTAAAACATGTTAGTTAACCCTTGAACTAACTGCCTTGTTTATTTGTTTGTTTATTGTCCCTCTTCCCATCACCCTCAATGTGAATTGTAATCAAGGCTCCAGTCAGTGGCCTGCTTCATTGTACCTGCAATGCAGAGTGTGGTGCCTGTCATGTGATCCATCTGAATGCATAATGGTGAAATGTGTTGAATGAACAGTCACTACTAGAAGGACCAATTGGAAAAGGAATTCTAAGAGGAAATTTCAGGCACAAAGGCATGACAGTAAATAGCATACAGGGAAACTACAAATAGTTGCTGGTGAATGGGGGTGCCGGGAGTGTGAGGTGGGTGAGATAAGCAAGCTGGAAGTAGCAGGAGTTGATGATGCTGGGAAAAGAGACTCCAGTAGGATCCTGAAGGGCTTATTTTATGCTGCATTGAGAAGGTAACGGTGGAACCGTGTAAGTGAGGAGTGGAGTGACAGGATCAGATTCTTGATTCACAAAAATAGCTTTGGCAGGATGGCAGGGTGAGAAGTGAGCTCCAGAGGAAAGACAGGAGCAGCAAATAGAACCTTCGACTCTCAAGTGTCCCCCCTTCCCCTTCCTGAAGCCCCTGGAACTCTCTTGGGAATCTATTTTTAGAGAATGGTGCCCCCTGCTGACCGAGTCTGAACCTGCACCTCCCCTGGTCCATGAGAGGAATTATAAAATTTTGGGCCCAGAACAAAAGCACCTAAAAGCCTTGCACACAGAACTTCAAGTTGTGATGTATGTGAAAGTGCCTTCCTAGGAAGAGAGGAGACTATGAGAACATTCGTGATAATGACTAATGCTACTGATAATGTTGCCAGATAAAATACAGAATGCCAGTTAAATTTGAATCTGGGGATATACTTAAACCAAAAAAGTATGTGTTGTTTATCTGAAATTCAAATTTAGCCAAGCATCCTGTATTTTTATTTGTTAAATCTGTTAGCCCTAGATAGTGTGTGGATGATGCCAGGTGAAAACTAGAAATGAAGCTGGATGGGTTGCTCTCCTCAGGTATTTCTGTATCCTCAACCCTAGTCCTCCATGCAAGCAGAGATGCAGGTGATGGCTTTTCATATTTTACAATTCTATTTGGGAAATCACCTTTAACTAATGGAGTCCAATGAGTATGGTGGAGCCTATGTACTAACCCCCTTGTTAATCTGAAGAGATCTGTATATTCCTTTTATTAAAAAAAAAAAAAAAGTGAACCTACCAGCTTGACATATCTCCTCTCTTCTCTCACGTGTGCTTTGTGTRTGTGTGTGCGCGCACATCCACACACCCAATTTAATAAAATTTCAGAGAGTTCCCAGCCTTTACATAGGAGTAACACATTCCCTCTAGGGCAGTTTGGGGTCCTGAATAGGAGCAAACAGCATCTGGTCCAAACTTAAGCTAAAACAAGGTGCTCCTCTATTCGCTCTGGACCCCTGAACCCTGTGACAAAACCAGAAATAGCATTGTCCCTCCCCCTCGGTAAATGCTTTGAACCAATTCTTTTTTTTTTACTGCTCCCAGAAATTACAGGGAGTCAGGCGTATTGGGACAGAAAACCCAACAGCCCTTGTGGGCTCGTGCCTCAGCTAAGCGGAAGGTACTATATGAATCACTCTTCAATTCAAGTCCTTCTCAGTTCCCATTCCCATCCTTCATGCCAATGGCAGGCCCAGCCCACTGGCTCCCAGTCTGAGGACTGCCTGTCAGAAACTGGCTTTCACCAGTAGATGGCTACCCTTTAGAATACAGTCTGGACCCTCGACTGAGTGATCAAAGCCAGTCTGATCACTGTGAGCATGCTGGGGATATATATCTGGTAGGGCTGCCCAGGTCTCCTCGCAACCCTTCCTGGAAAGCCCTTGGAGCCTCTACAGCCTACTCTCCTCGTGGCCCCACAGAGGGAAAGCAGCAGGAGCCAATGCCAGGGGATGTTTTTGGGTTCTCAGAATGTTCTAAGTCATGAAAAATCTCATCACAGTCTGCTTCTATCGTTCTCCACATTTATCTGATATTGTAGTTCCTTTGCATTGCGCCATGGAACATAGCTGCCAAACCCCAAGTTGTATCAGGCAAATAATCATAACAATATACCCTACAATATATTATCAGAGTAATATTTTCTGCATTTAACTTGCAATTTACAATAGCAATATGGTTTCCAATTATAATTACCTTGAAAGGCAGAAAGCCTTTCCTAATTTTTTTTTTTTTTTAGTTAAAATGTCCTTTTCTAACCTACAATGGTAATTAACTTTTTAAAAATGTCTTGAAAAAATAAACGCCAGCATACCTGTATCAGACCACCAAATTATTTGGAATTTCAACTGGGAATTTCTAGAGAACCCAAACAGCTGGGATCCACTGGCTTAGATGAGGGTTAAAGAGCTCCCTGACCCCCAGTGGTGGGAAGTCAGATAGGAGGCTCACTTCTGATTCCCACACTCCCATGRAGTCCTGCCACCTTCAGGTGATGCACTTGGGTGGGTTTCAGGATTCCTACTCCAAATATGGAGAGACCTGCTTCTGGCCTAACCTCTCCCCCAGGAGTGTTCTAAGGATAAAATGTCACGTACTAAAGAGCTTTGGGGAAACAGGAGCTCTATAAATATGAGATTACTGTTCCTAAAGACAGCTGGTAGGTTTTTGATGGGAAGGGCTGAATGATCCCGCAGAGACCTGGGACAATTTCTCTGCCAGGGCATCTGGGGAAAATGACCAGCTCCACTCATAAATGTGCAAACTGTTCCCTGACAAGTAGAGCCAGACAGTGGAGGCTATAGGGCTTCTGAAGAGCTTTATTTTCCTTCCTTGGAGGACACAACTCAGGGACATACCCAGGAACCTACTGCTAGTCACCTTATATTCTTTTAGGTTCTTCTATCTCTAAAAAATGCAGAAGTTTGCTCAGTCCTCTTTACAAGGGTATTACAGAGCAGTGGAAAAACACATCATTTATTCCTAAATACCCATTTCATTGCTTATCCAGTTAATGTTTAATTCCTGCCAATTGAAGTCCTTTATAAAACAATGTGATTTTTATTTCTTTTAATGTTTACTTCCAGAATAGCTTATCCTAGGATGGTACCCCAAATTACATTTGTGGGTCCCTCCCCTTGCTGTAGACTGAGGTATACAGGAAATGAAAAATCACTATACCATGAGTCTATGCAAGAACAGCAAAGGAGGTGGACCTGATGCTTTGACCAAAATAGAAATAAGTACAACTTGCCCCAAACTGAAAACACAGGGCTTGGAGAAATTTGCATGCTGGTTCCCTCCCTTCTGCACATAGCTGAGAATTAACTGCAGATGAAAGTCCTTTGATCTTTAGAAACCTGAGGCATCAGGCCGCCCAGGGTTAGTGATCAACAACGCTTCTGTTTGAACTTGTCTGGTATTTCACATTTATCAGCCCTAATGTTACAAGCGAACAGTGGTACCTATTTTAGTCAAATCTGGCACTCTCCGTCCCTGTGATGCTACAGGTAAGTATGTCACCCGGGATAAGCTGGCAGCTTACAAAACATTTTCAGATTATCTTCACGTTGAGTAATGAAAGCTATTGTCCTGCCATGTGTTCTCACTGGAACTGACCAGAGGGGTAAAAGGGGGAGCAGTCAGGCAGTTGAAAACCCTTTTCCTGCTTGGCAATGCTGCCACGCTCCATCTGCTACTTTCATCTTCCTACACTTTCCAGTCAAGCCTYACCTTGCCTGGACACCTTCCTTCGTTGTTATCCCTGCATTTCTGAGAAGCAGTGATTCGGTTTTCTTATCTCCCAATTAGACTGTGAGCCCCCTAGAGAGTAAGTACTAGTTCTACTTAACAGAACTCCCAGCTTGCTCACAGTGGGTGGCATCCAGAAGGAAATAAATGTTGGATGAATGGACAAGAGATTGAGTGAACACATTAGAACAGGACCAGCCACCACTGGTAGAACAGGCTTACCCTGTGAGCCATCTCTCCAGGATGCTGAGCTGCTGTCACCCCGTCTTGCTCTTGATGATTAGTATTAGGCATTTTTGAGACAGCTAGTTGGGAATGGCAGAGGGAAGAGGTGGAAGGGCCAAGTCTGATAGCTGGGAAGATGTCTCTTTTTTAAACAGCAGGCTTCGATAATGCTTGCTTGTCAGCCCTGACCCCGTAACCCGATCTAACCATCTAACTAATCTGCAGAAGACACTGGAAGAACTATCAGTCTAGCAGGCAAGAAGCCAAATGATGAAACCTTCAGGATGAAAAAACAGGGGAAAGGGTGGAGAAAGGAAGTTAGTTCAGCCAGATGTACTTAAAACTTCTCAAGGAGGAGTTAAAAATGGGGGAAGGAGCCACTGTGGAGGCAGGGCTGCAGTGACACCCTGGCCCCTAGGGAGCAAGATGAGTGCAAGTGAGGCAGGGCTTGAAAGTCAGGGGGAGGGGGGGTGCCAAGGCTGTGTTCAGGAAGGAGGCCGCGCGCTCCCATCTGGAGAGCCAAGGGGCTGGGGCTGTTGAACAGATGGAGGGAAAGTTGCAGCTGGTGGAAATGCACTTTCATGTGTAAAGTTTGGTCCTTGGAGGATTGTRATTTCCAACTCTGAAGGCAGAAGTGGGCAGGTGGCTCTGCTCCATGCTCCGCCTTCTCCCCCCATTACCACCCAGAAAACTCTACAGCGGCTCTGTGCCAGGACTCAGCCACCATGCCTTCCGCCAGCATCCCTTTCAACAGGCAGAAGCTGGCATGGTGACACCTTGGCACAGCCAGGATGGCAGAGGACTGCAATGCTTTCGCAGCTGAAGGGGGGCAGGGGAATAGGAGGGATTAATCCAGCCTCCCTGGAGGGGACCAGGTGGACTGAGAACAGACGGAGAGATGGAGGGAGGGAATAGGAAAAGTACATTCACAGACTTTCCAAAGCTGTTTATGATACATGCATGGGGTCTCTCTGTCATGCTTTGGCTGAGAGAGGCAGTGGGGAAAAGAGAAAAACTAGCAAATTCTGGGAATCTGGGTTCATTTAACCCTAACCTTGAGGTACTTCATAAGGAGAGAACATACCTTCGGTTTTTCATGACATGCTTGCCCACCCAAACTTAAGAAGTGATGCCTACATCCGTAGTTGTAACAGTCAGCCACCTGTCATAGTATATTTAGAGCTTCGCCCGTAGGAACAGAGACTTTTGGCACAGCCATACAATCATACAATCTCTCAAGGTTCCACCTTATCATGCTCAGACTCTTGGGGAATCACTTGGCCAACCATGCCACCCACACCTAAGAGAGCAGCCAGGGGCAGAGTGGGATGCGGGCAGACCCCTGCCTCTTCCTTCTCTCTTTAATTGTACTAGACTATGCCCCAGTTGATCAAGAACAGAAACTGCCCACTCATCTTATGAAAATCCAAGAGCTTTTTTTAGAGTATGTGATTTTGCTTCCTTTGATTAAAAACAAAACAAAAAAAAAAACAACAAAATCTGGAACCCAGTTCCTTATCACTACTAAGTCCATTTTCCCAGGAGATGTCACTGTTGGAGATAATAACTTAAGTATTCTTGGAGTGGAGGTAGTCTCTCTCTTCCTAGTGGGTTGTCTTCTTTGTTCCCTTCCCAAACTTGGCATCAAGACCAAGACCTATGGAAAGGAGAAAATGGACTTAGCTTCATGGGGAGACACAAAACCTACCAATGATTTTGGGGAGTTAGTCTTGGTTCTCCAAATGGGGACTTTAAATAAACTGAATTTCAGAACACTGGTTCTACATAACTTTCTCAGAGACAACAAAATAGCACCAAACAAAAAAACAAACAAAATGACCAAGATACTGGTTAATGACAAATATATGTGTGTGCACGCATGCATGTTCACATATGCATATTTGTGTGTGTGTGTGTGTGTATACATATAGCAAGTCTGAAAGAAGGTTGAGTCAGAATGTCTAAGATAGTTTTCTCAGTTCATCTATGTCATCACAAGTTAGTAGGGAATAGCATAATTTTGTCTTGCTCAGGATCTGGGTAAATCAAGTCAGTGGAAGGAGACCACTGAAGAAAAGCACATTAAGAAGAATACATTAGAAATAATGCTTCCTTTTCTCTTTTGAGAAAGTTTTCTCTAAAACAGCTAAATTTTCAAATATATAACTATATTTTAGGGGAAAAAACATAAAGAGCTCTGTCATCGCCCCTCTGTGTAGCCAAGAGAGGTGTCTTCTTTGGATGGAACTTACCCAGGAACACAAGCACAGTGCCTACCCATTGCATGGGGCTAATGGGGTTGGCAAAGAGGATCACAGAGGCCAAAATAGTGAAGAACTTCCGAGTTGTCGTGATGATTGAGCAGGTCAGGGGACCAAAATACACAACTGTCATGAAGATGAAGCTCTAGAGAATGAGAGAAAGGTGGCTCAGGTTGATTCTTGGGTATCTTACCATTAGGTCTAAAGTAACAGACATCAGGGCTAATTTTTTTTTTTTATTGGTTGTTCAAAACATTACAAAGGTCTTGACATATCATATTTCATACACTGGATTCAAGTGGGTTATGAACTCCCATTTTTACCCCAAATACAGATTGCAGAATCACATCAGTTACACATCCACATTTTTACATAATGCCATATTAGTAACTGTTGTATTCTGCTACCTTTCCTATCCTCTACTATCTTCCCTCCCATCAGGGCTAATCTTGACATTTCTTATCCCAGCCAGGCCAGTCTTTCCTAAGGAACCAGCCCTTCCACAAGGAAGCCAAGATATCCCCTCTCAAGAACTCACCTGACCCAAGGCACTGGTCAGGCCAAAGAGCAGGATATTATAGATGATGATTGGGTACCTTTCAGCAAAGCTCAAGAACTCCCAGAGCTCCCCAGTGAACAGGATTCCTAAGAAGAAATAGTAAAAGATAAATGGCACATCTTATGTGGCACACACACCTATGCATGGTCTGCTCCAGTACTATGAAGGAGGATGAGTATGGAAAACTATATGGAGTGCCTTTATATTGCCTGTCACACATCTTTCTTATGTTTTTGTTTTGTTTTCTGATTAGAAAAACTAACTAAGGACTTGATTTGGTGAGAAAGGCTTGAAAGTTAAGGAGTTACTTCCACTCCAGTGACTGGAGGCAGCAAAGATCCTTGGGTGCTGTGGAGAGAGATAGTGACCCATATACCTCTCACTCAAGGAAGCTCCTTGCATTAGTCACCTCCAGCCACCTCTAGCCTCCTCCACTATCCTGATGTGCTACACAAAAAATACTTTCTACAGGTGCCCAGATTTGAAAAATTAGGAAACAATCATTTCAAAGCAAAATATAAGCCAGGGAAAGTGGCAGATGCCTATAATCCCAGGCTTTAGGGAGACTCGGGCAGGAGGATTGTATGTTTGGAGCCAGCCAGGGAAACTCAGTGAGACCCTGTTTCAAAATATAAAAAGGGCTGGGGATATAGTCCGGTGGTAGAGTACCCCTGCGGTTCAATCCCCAGTACCAGGGGAGAAAAATGCACTCACATTTGAATTGCATTCAGTGTATACCTGTTTGTTTCCTATGAACACTATTCCAATATCTTGTTTGCCTCTAAGAGGGAAAGTTCCCAGGTACTTCCATGTGCTTTATTTATTTATTTATTTATTTATTTATTTATTTTAAAGAGTGAGAGAGAGGGAGAGAGAGAATTTTAATATTTATTTTTTAGTATTTGGCAGACACAACATCTTTGTCTGTATGTGGTGCTGAGAATCAAACCCGGGCCGCATGCATGCTACCGCTTGAGCCACATCCCCAGCCCCACTTCCATGTGCTTTATAATGTGTGTGTTCCCGTGATATCTGACGCAGAGAGAGACCCCTGTTGCATTTGTGACAGGTAGTAAGCAAATCCTGCTAGTGCAGGTCATTCCAGGAAGGTTTCTCAGGGTTTAGACAGAAGGGCATCTTGGAACCAAGCATTGGTCTGCACAAAGTAAGCAACTGGCTGCAGAGACAGGATCAACTGGACAAGTGCAGTCTGCCCTCTGGTGATACACGGAAAGAATAGCAGAACTGCTCCTTACCAGCTCCTAGCAGCAATGTCGACCAAAGGTTGATGTTCAACATCATGTGGTTGGAGCCTGTTTGGTAATGAGCCCGCATGTGGTCCTGGGAAACACCTGTCAGTCCATCCAGGGTCAGAGACAATAGCTGGGAAAGAAAGGGAGCAACCTGCAATGCAACCACCAAGTCCTCTCCCTAATTCAGGACACAGGATTCCTATCCTCAGGGCTCCTCAAAAAGCCACTACCCCAGGACAGAAACCTGATGTCATTTGGTCCTGGGTAGAAGGTGGGCAGAGATGATGTCCGTCCCCCAGGCACTGAATTGACAGGCTAACTGAGCTGTAGAATGGAACTATAATAAAGTAGAGCTTTCATTAAAGCTGGAGAAATCTAATCCCATCAGGTTAGTTTCCTAGCTTGAAGTACAGTGCTCCAAATAACGGATTCTGTGGTCAGACTGCCTGGTTTGGAATCCTGACTCCACCATTTAAATAGCATGGACAACAAGCCTCAGTTTCACTATCTGTAAAATATTACCTGTGTTAGGAGATTGTTGTAAAAATCAATTAATATGAAAAAGATTTGGAATGGTCCCTAACACATAAGCAATAGCTCCCAGTGTATTATTTTTAACCCTGGCCTCCACACTGCTTAGAAGTTCACAGTAAGAGCTACATTATTCCTTTTTTCTCAAGTCTCCATGACCTCACATTATGATCTAGACACAAACCTCAGAGTTATCTGTTCCCCAGAAGCTRTAGTTAAATATTTCAGGCTTCCCATCATGGGTTCAGCAGAGCCCTGTAGCAGAGCCCAAAAATGGAGGGCAAGGAGTACCATAACCTTTCTCAAGATATGTAACTAACCTTCTGTCTCCAAAGTTAACCAGGGCTGTCCTCTGGTTAACTTTGCCAGAAAAGTCTGCCCTCCCCAGGACTGCATACCAGAAGTAATTCTCCATAGCCGATTGTGTGTTCTTCCATCCCAACTACTTTCTTGGGTTTGTACATGAAAAGAGCCACTCCAGCCACAATTAGTAACACACACAGGTACTTGGCCAATGGGTACTTCTTCTTCAAGAGGGTYACCCCAAGAAGCATGACTACAGGGAAAAAAACAGAGTGGAAAATTCAGGTACTCACAGGTATCAATTACTCCGGTTACCCTCCTCCCAGGAGCCAAGAAAAGACTCAGGAAGAAAAGAATGTCCGAGAAAGAAGTCCTAAAGAAAGTGAGAGGAGGGGTGCCAAGCTGGCACCTAGATAAAGATGATTGAGCAACAAGCTTGAGTAGAGTATAAGGTGGGGAAAAGGTAGAGGACAAMGGTGAAAGTTACGGGAAGAAATGCAGCATGAGTGGGAAACGGTGGGGAAAGACGAGGGGTTGAGAAAAAGAAACTGATGAGAAAAATGGGACTTAGGATATTAGGATATGTAATAATAATGTAAACACATGGACACCAAAATGACTGACCACGTGAAGCTGACTAGGCTAGTCTCCAGCTTGCACTGAGGTTTACCAGCCAATACACACCACAGGAAATGGCAAAGATGCCTAGATGGGCAGGGAGAAGGACTGAAGGAAACTCTTTGGAGAAAGCTATGATGAAATCCAGAGAGACACAGATCTCTCTGGCAGAGGAAAAGTGAGTTTATTCCAAGAAAAGTGAGGACAGAAGATGGAGACCATCTTCTTCTGCTTACCTGGGATTGGCTTGCAGGATTTACCAAGGACCTGAAATTAAATTCAGCAAATAATTTCTGAGCATTTGTGACATGCCAGGAACCATACTACATGTCACATTAAGTAAGCAAAAGGCCTACATGGGGCACATTAGCCTCAGAAAGCAGCCCTGTCATGGCCCAACCCACCACTATACCCTAGCTCCAGGTTTTATACTCTTGAATTTCTCAAATACTATTTCCCAGGGCTGTTTCTTTTTATTTAAGTCACAGACATGACAGAAGCCCCCTCAGTCCTTTTCAAACAATTCTGAGCCAACACTCATCCCACCCTGAAGTTTCACCTGAGTTGGGTAGTTGACAAACTGTAGTGCTGAGTTGCTGGAGACCATAGCACCCAAATAGGACAAAGAACAGGCAGCATAGAGCCAGCTCCGAGTACGATCCACCCTGGCAGTGTCAAAAAACTGGATCACTGGGAGAAGAAGAAGAAAAAAAAAACATACAAGAGAAACCTGGTGGGGCTAGGATGGACCACTAAGCAAAAGTTGAAGCTGCATGAAAGGAATTTGCCAAACTATTTCTATCTTCTTAGACTGAGGAATTGCTGAAAATCATTCCAACTCCCCAATTCCACCTAAACTAACACAAGATGACATGTTGGGTGGAGATGGAGGTCTCATTCCATTCAAGAGAGGACTTAACCCTGCTGCTAGTCTCCTGGAAACAAAAAAAGTTCAAAACATGTTTGAAGATGACACACAAAGGAAAGTCAAAGGGCCAAAGGAAAAAAAGTTTTAAGTATTCTCAATAGGGATTTAGAACACAAAAGATCCACTTTCTGCATATTTCTAACTCAACTGTTGGGCTAATGTAAGGAAATAATATTTAATCTCATTTCAAAATTATTAGTTTTACAGACTGCAGAGAGGTTGTGTGATTACTAAAGTGGGTGGAGTTTGAAAAAGTAAAACTTTAAGGTGAATGTCCAGGGTGGCAGGAGGTGGGGGACACTCAACAATTTACTATTTAGGTACTCACAGATCTTGGCAAACACAGCATTGATCACACACTGGATGAAGACCAGGGTTAAGGCAAAGGTGAACGTCTCCTGTTTGGCTCCCTCCCCATATTTTCCTCTTGTTCTAAAAATAAAATGCATGAGAAAAAAAGGGGGGAGATTAGTATATTTCACTCAATTTCATCTAGTGTGCCTAGAGCCACTGAAGGCTTTGGAGTTACCTTTCCTCTTTGGATGTAGGGAGAGAGTGTCTGTAAGGATCACTGGGCTCATTTACAAAAGGGACATAGGCATCTCAGCCTGTGTATCCCACAGTCGAAGGAAATAATATCCATAAAGGACAGAGATAAAGGACACAAGTAAAATGTGACAGTGAAACGAAGTACCCCAGGCAGAAGTATTTGCACTAGACAGCAAAGCCGAGAGCAAAAGAACAGGCTGGGTGCAAGCATCTGGGAGTTTCAAAGAGCAGCTGATTCAGGTCAAGGAAACCTGCTCTGGGGTAGAAGTTCCAGGTTTTTTGTTATTGTTGTTGTTATTTTATTTTGAGACAGGGTCTCGCTAAGTTGCTGAGACTGGCTTTGAACTTGGGATTTTCCAGCCTTAGCCTCCCCAGCCGCTGGGCTTACAGGCGTGCACCACCACGCCCAGCAGTTCAAGGTTCTTGAAACCAGCAAGAGCAAAAACACTAAAGGAAGAAAATTAACCAGGTACCGAAAATCCAGAGGCCAACTCTGGTGTTTTGGAATTAGCGGGTGGCTCAACTGGGGATACAAATGTAGCGGAATACTAGGAGAGCCAGAGCCAGGCGGAAGAACAAGAGGAAAGCCCAGGGCCAGAAAATGAAAGTCTTGAGAACTGGGACGCAGGCTGGGCAGAGGGGAATGGATGAGGGGGAATGTCTGCGTTCCCTCCCCGGGGGTCCGCTCACATCTTTTCCTGCAGGATCCCATAGTAGAAATAGCAGACAAAGACACCAAGGAAGCAGAGCGGCAGGCGCAGCCGGTCGGGCACCAGAGATTTGCTAGCGGCCATGAGACGCCCGGACGAGCCGACCACAGACCCGCTCACAGCCGGTAACGGCACCGGCGGCGGAGGCGACAACTCCAGGCGGACATCGCCGACCGGCGGCAGGGGCCTCATAGGAGCTGCATGCGACCGCCTCTCACTAGGCCCCAGAAGTCACCTCCAGAATTGCCAGCTCAGGGCTGCCGAGAGGGAAATTCCTTAGAACCCAGCAACCGCCTTCTAGGAAAGAATAGCGACGCTGAGACCTTGGCTCCATTCCTAGTGGTCAGGAGAATAGGAATTCGCAAGGTTAACGCCTCGCTAAAGAGATTCTTTTGACCAGGCAATTCCGAAGACAACTGCAACCCGGAGCTCACAGGGGTGGCTTGGGAGATACCCGGCGTGTAATGATGACGTATAAGGATGTGGAGGTCACCAATTGGCTGCACTGCGTGAAGATAGACAGGTGGGCGGGGAAGGAGGAGGGGCGCCGGCGGAGCTGATCAAATAGTCTTTCTACGGGTCGGCAGCCCGGCTTCTGCTGGGTCCTAACACCAAGAAGCAGGTGGAGCCTTGGCGCCCTCTAGCTGCTACGTAGCGTCAGCAACTCGAGCGGGCTCCTCCAGAGCGTTCAAGGCCTGGCTTAGAGGAGCTGGGGTCTTTACAAAGCGGTGGGTCAGGGCTCTTGTCACTTTAGATCCGGGCATCCTACACGTGTAGTCTAAATTCCGAGCCACGTTCAGAAAACTAGAGAGATAATTAGTAATAGCCGCGTTGTCGCCCCTTGACTGTTCTGAGGATCAAATGAGCTGAGGTTTATGAAAGTGTTTTATAAACTGTAAATTGTGATGTGGAAATTTAAGATATTATTGGTCATTACTGTTTCTCAACTCCGATCTTATTTCATCACATCCTGGAGGTGGAAATGCAAGCTTATTTTGAAGTGAATTTTCTTAAAGGCCTTCCAGCTCACCAACAATGGAGCAAATACTTTGGCTGCCCCCCAGCTTCTTTCCCACCATTATTAAGCCCTCTTGGGACCTCCCCCCCCCCCCCCCCCCCCCCCCCCCCCCCCCCCCCCCCCCCCCCCCCGCATCCAAGGGTTAGATCTCCACCCGCTGAACAGAATTGCCAGGGCAAGACTGACACTAGGTCTTTCCACTGCCACCCCCCACCCTCCACTTAATAACTGGCCCAATTCTCAGGTGGCCCCTTGGACTCTGAGCTTCTCTCTAGCAGCTTATTCCTTTGGCACCACCTCAGGCAAAGGAAGGAAACGCTGGGCAGCACCACACCCATCGCCTGGGGCCTGACTCACTAAGGCTTTGGGGGCAAGCCAGATATCTTTCATGGAGTGGGAGGAGTAGTAGATAGAAGACAGGGTCTGTCCCCAGCTCTTTTTATGGGTGGGAGACAGGGGTCCCCACACCTTTGCTCTCTTGCCTCTTAGCTTACGCCACTGAATCAGGTGGCACTTCCTGGGAACCAAACAGGAGCTGGGACCAGACCTGAGTTCTAGTTCCAGCTCTGCTTCTTTGCCAGCTGGGACCTCAAACAATTCACCTGACCTCTGAGTCAAGTTTCCTCATGTAAAATTAATGGGAATATAATAACAAGCAGGAGAGCACTGTCATTAGAAGCATGGACAATGTATTCAAATGATCAGGTTTCCAATCCTAGCTCCCCCACTATGTGTCTGTCTTTTGGGAAAAGTTATTCAATCTTTTTGACCTTCCCACATCAGTACAATGGGACTTATTACATTTCTCTCCTTGGGTGGTTGTCATATTTTGATGGCATTTCATATGAAGCACCTAACAAGGTATCTGCTGCTTTACCAAGCCCATGAATGGTTACAAGTGGCCTGAGATAGGTAGAGTTATTTATATCATTATTGTGACTCTTCTTCTGGTTGTCAACTTTTCATCTATGCAGTGGGGATGTCCTTTGTGAGAATGCTTTGTGAATTCCAAAGCACTGTCAGAATGTTTAGTGATTATTCAAATTTTCACCAAAAGCCTCAGAACTCTTACAGATGCAGCACTGCACCGAGAGACTGCAAAAGGGCAAGGACGGTTTCTTTGTATTCTCTAAGGTTGCACACTGTGCTGGGGGGTACTCACTGAGAATACCCATGGGAGCAAAGCCTTCTTTACTGTGCCATGGGAGTCCACCTGAGTAGTCTTCCCTGGTCTTGTCCCCCTTGCCAGTGCAAGGGCATACTGTCTTTCCTTGGTCACCTTCTTTCCTCTACGAAACCCATTCTGCTTAGACTCATAGAGAAACAGGTAATTTCCCTAATGATTCCCGCACCCCACCTCCAGGACACACCATTCTGGAAAGATTTTTCTTGGACCTGTTTTTTTTGTTGTTGTTTTTGTTGTTATTCTTGGGAAGAGTTCATACAGCACCCAAGCCCACTAGTTATATATTAAGGAAGGGCTCCTTCTCTTGAAGACAAGACCAAGTGATGAATATGGTACCCTGTATCTCGGCCCCACTCCTCCTACCCCAGGTATTTAAACAGAACTTCAAGCTGCTGGGAATACTTATTGATTTATTTGGTCTATTAACACCAAGATCTGAAAAAAAAATCTCTAAACACAAGATAAGAAAACTTGGAACATTAACATTCTTCTTCAATTTTGTGTAAGCTCTGCAGTACGGAAAATATACAAACTTCAAACAGCTGCAAAAATAGTGTCTTTGGGAGAAAATAGAGTTTCTACATTGATACAAGAAAAATAGGCATTTTTCTAATCCAGCCCAGCCCTGGGGCAGGTGGAGGGTGTAGAGTCACCACTTGCCACCTGGAGGAATGCCAGCCCTCCCTCTCCCCCGCCACCCACCTGGGGCTGGGCTGCTGCTTAAGACAATCTTTAGTCAGGGTGAAAGTGAGATGAAAATGCCACTTGGGAAACACTTGGTTCCTCCCTCTGCCAGCAGCTGAATTGGTCAAGTGTTGTGGCCCTCTAGGGCCGCTTTGGTCAGCTCCTCCAAAAAGAGGGAGGCATGGAGCTGGGATGTCTGTCTTCTGGACTTCTCTTCCGTGTTTCTGGAGGTGGAGAGGGAAGGGAGTCTGGCCTTCCCCTCTCCTTCAATCACAGCCAGCTTACTCCACCACAACAGGAGCCTCCTATAAGTCATTTGGACTTGCATCCTGGGGTGGGAGACTCAAGACCTTCTTGGGTGAGTTTCCACTGAGTGAGGGAAGCGGCAGGTACACAGGTGTGAGTTGTCAGCTGCCCAGCTGCTAAAGGAGAAGGCAAGTCCCCTCACATTTGGAGGGGCTGGTGTCCGTCAGAAAGAGGACCTGGGGCTTTGACACAATAAGTGAAAGTGCTCAAAGGCCGAGAGGGAAGGGCTCCTCCATCCCCCTGCTTGGGGAGCTAGAGAGGGGCCTGCCACCAAGGCACTGGTCTCCATGGTAAAGTTGAGGGGGGTCCCCTCAAACCACCAGGGAGCTCTGGAAAAGCACAGACTCTTCTGATGGTGGGGTGCGCTGCCATGGCTCGAATGGCAGTGGGGAGGCCTTGGAGGCCTCTGGATCCTTCCGAGATGGTGCCCTGGGGCTGGGGGGGGGGAAGGGGAGACCCCGGGCTTGAGGGGCAGTTACGGAAGATGAAACCCATGCCAGGGAAGAGTGGCTTCATCAAGCTGACAGGGCAGAAGGCTGAGCCTGTTGGGTTGAAATGGACTTTGTTCTTGTCAGGACAGGAAGTCAGGAAGGCCAGGTCAGGACCTGGGGACCTGGAGGATGGAGAGAGACAAACACATACAAACACACAGAAAAGTGGCCAGTGAGAGAGGGTGAGAGATGTTGCCAGCAGCCAGAGAACTGGGTCTCTGCTCAAACASGATGGTAGCTTTTTTATTTTTATTTTTTTTAATATTTATTTTTTAGTTTTAGGTAGACACACAATATCTTTATTTTATTTTTATGTGGTGCTGACGATCAAACCCAGTGCCTCGCACATGCCAGGCGAGTGCGCTACCACTTGAGCCACATCCCCAGCCCCAGCTTTTTTATTTTAAATGGCACTGGGGATTGAACCCAAGGGTGCTTTACCACAAGGCTACATCCCCAACCCTTTTTAATTTTGAGAGGCTCTAAATTGCCCAGACTGGCCTTGAACTTGTGATCCTCTTGCCTCAGCCTCCCAAGTTGCAGGGATGTCACTGCACCCAGCTCAAACAGGAGAGTAACTTGATCGATCAAAAAATGAAAGGCTACAGTCTTTAGGCTCCTCAGCTCTCTATTTTTTAAAAATATGGCTAAACAGATGAAACACAATTTAGCTAGAAATAGGAGGAACAGTTCCCAGTAATGTGATTCTAGGAGACCAAGGGATCTTTTCATTGGAAAATTTTCTCCAGGGAGTAGTGTTTGAGGGGCAGACCACATGCCTGAAGGCAGAGATCTAGGCACAGTGACAGAATTCTAAGACTTTATAGCCTAAAGCAGGGTTCTTGGCCTTAGTGCTACTGACATTTTAGCTGCATAATTTTTTGCAGAGGCGAGAGTGGGAAAACACTGTCCTGAGATCGCAGGATGTTTAACAGCATTCCTGGCCTCTGCCCAGGACAGTAGCAATACCCACAGTACTATGTTCTTCCCCCTTCATACACACTTGTGACAACTAAAAATGTCTCTTAACATTGTCAAATATCTACCTCAGGGCAATTATGTCTCCTGAAGATTCTAATTCTTGAGCAGGTTTGGAAGGTAAGATTATCAAAAACTTTCACTGGGAGGAAAGGACAGCAACAACTATGAGAAAGGCTGTTAGACTTTCTCAGAAGGTCTGGATTCTGACTCCCCACGTCTCACCTTTAAAGTGGGAAGAATCATCCCTTCCCTTCTGACCACTAGAAGAAATGGAAGGATGAAAAGAGGTGAGTTCAGTGAGCTCCTGAGTAAGGAATCCTTATGATAAAAAGTGATCCTTATCCTTATGATAAGGAATCCTTATGGAGTGAAGCAGCCCTGAGAAGCTGCTGGCTGTGAGGCTTCCAGTAAGAAGACAAAGGTGTGGGAAGATGATGGAGCTCTATCACTAGTGGTTCCCTTTTCCGGTACTTTTTATTGAAGGAAAATATACATGGAAAAACCCACTTAGGGGGCTGGGGATCTAGCTCAGTTGGTAGAGTACTTGCCTCCCATGCACAAGGCCCTCAGTTCAATCCCCAGCACAGCAAAAGAAAAAAAAAAAAAAGAAAGAAAGAAAGAAAAAAGAAAAACACACTTAGGGTAAAAATTGATACATTATTTTCCATTTTAATCCTAGAATCCTAATAATTCCAAGGCCTGAGAAGAAGAGTGAGGTGGGAGAAGAAGAGCAGAGTTCTGGCACTAAGTGGGAAGAGGTGGCAGGCGTGATAGGCCACTGTGCCAGGGGAAGGCCTGTGGGCCCGGAGACTTCAGTGGCAAGGTGTTCCCACCAGAGAAGGGTTTAAAAGAACCCCTCTTTATGGAGGAGTGGGAATGGGCAGAAGAGGGAATGTTTTTGGTGTGTGACTAGAGGAGTCCAAGCAACAAAGAACATGAGTGCAACCAGCATGACCTTGAGCAGCCAGATACCCTCCCTGAGAAATCTAAGCGATCTCAGAGGAAACAGCAGCTAAGAAGAGGAAAATGTCGCCAAAAAAACTCACTGTACACGAGAACTCCCCAAAGGAAAGATGGTGAAATGAAGAGACCTCATGAGCTACAGAATTTCAGACCCAGGATGTCTTAGAAAACAACGGATCAGTCACACTCTCTTACAGGGGTAATGCAGAGGCAGAAAGCTAGATGAGATGACTTGAAGACTACTTCCAGCATTATGAGTCTGTGAAAGAATCAGGACATGCAATAGCCTAATTTCTACCAGCATTTCCAGGATGTGACTATTAATCTATAACATGGAGTGAGGGAGGACACAAGAGCCTGAGATCTGCTTAAGCTGTAAGTGCTGGCCTTTTGCTTCCACAACACCTCGTTCTTAAAGGACACAAGGCAACAGCAACAGCAGGAACAATCTCCTACCCTCATGGGTTGTCTTCTCTATTGTTTGAGATACAAATGGTGCCCTCAATGCCCAGAACCCAGTCCTAGCTAAAGCTTCACTCACACACCATGACTGAATTCCCTGACTGCCACTGAAACCATGACTTCCAATGTGAATCTGCCCTGATGGATATGAAGCTGCAGGAGAAACCAGAGGCCCTTTAGGGGCCTGCTAAGGGGTTCTGTGTGTACCTTTGGAAGGTGACCTCTCAATCTTCTGCTAACAGGAGGAACTGTAAAGAAGTCACAAAAGAATGGCCTCTGAACTATCCAGTCTGGTTTGGGAATATTCCACAGTCCTTACTTGCAAGGTCTGGAACTTTCTGTCTGCAAGTTCATGATACTTGATCCATTACAGCCACAGGATAAAGAACTATTAGTATGTTCTCTCTCTCCCTCTCTCTGATCATGGTTTAGCAAATTCTCACACTTTCCCTAGGGATAAAAAAATAAAAATGGAAGAAACAAAGGGCTGAAGTTTCTGATATCTTTCCTTTTCAGCTCCTGCTGTGCTTATGGCTGGCATGTGGGCAGAGAACAGGTTTCTATGGAGATAATGATAAGCAAAGATTTAAGTGCTCAGAGTAGGTAATGTCAACAAGTTTGATCATGAGAAAACTGCAATACTGAAAAATCTGATGTTGCCAACACCTCTAGAAAAGACAGAGTGCAAGAGTGAAAAGAGCCTGGCAGGTGGGATAACACAGGGCTTGACCTCCATCTTTGTCCCTCCCTCCCACACCCTGTCCACTTGATGTACTCACGTGGCCTCTTCAAACACGCGCACTCTCTCACAGCCTTCTGGGGGCTCCCGTTTGAAGACATAGCTGTGATTGGGCCGAGGGGAGGCGGCAAAGGCAAGGACTGGAGATGGGCTGCCATCTTCAAGGAAGGCTGGGTGACCTGGAGAATAGGCTGCAAACAAAGTAAGGCTGAGTCCCAGAAGGCCTCTGCATTCCTCAGCTCAGACCTTGGGTGTAAAGGGGTGAGGCTGGGAGGTACGTGATAAAGTAGGTGGTAGTGGTTATGCTAACCAGGCAGCCTGGCTCTTTTCACTCTTAAAAAGCCTTTGAGGTAGCTTACAAACATACATAACATATGACAGAATACAAGAACAATGGAGTTGACGGGAAAAGAATGTCTTATAATACTGCACTCTTGGGAGGTAGAAGAAGACTTGGACCTCCAGACCTCAGACTTAAAGGAATCCTATATAGCATCCCTCTTTGCCTTCTCCTGAGACTGTGATGCCCCTGACTGTCCCTACCTGCCAGCATGTCAGGACTTCTCCTTGCTGCAGTCTGGAACATACATCGCTCCTTGCAGGGAGCACTCTTGTACTAACTTTGAGGAACCAACTTTACACAGGATAAAATTTTATCAGAGGATAAAATTCTTCTTATTTTCTACCTAGAGACTGTACTTTGCCTAGGTTACAAATATTCACTTTATCTGCATTTATCTCATTTATTCCTTGTTACTCCTGGCTCTATTTACCTATGTGTATTGTTAGATCATTCTGTCCCTGAGAAATCCAGCCTACATCATGTGCCCTTGACCAGCCTGCCTCATGAAGTGGCTGGGAGAATCAAATCAGGGGATGCAGGCACAGTGCTCTATAACATATGGAYCATTAGTAGGAGGCAGGAATCCTATCTCTTCTTCCCCATGAGAAGTCAGGGCACAGGAGAAAGTCAGGCTTTGGAATCAGAAAGTTCACGTATCAGTCTGGTCAAACTGGGCCCTGGACCACATTCTCTTATTTTTTATCATTTCCAGTCACCCTGAAGGCTTATGCTGGTAACAAGTAGTGTGGACACCAGAACGGAGATGTACTGTCCTCCTACTATAGCACTCTAACCCTCAGCCAAAAGTAGAGACAGGAAGGATTGCTCTTCTGGACTCCACTGAAGATTCAGTAAAGTATAGGTATAGAATTTATAAATTACAAATCAGAATGTCATGAAAGGGACATTATTGTTGGTATAGTGTACAGAATGAAAGACTAACGTTTGGCTCACAAATCGTGCTGGGCCTAAAACTGCTGGGTGGGAAAAGGGAGAGATACCCTTCTTGCAGTCCAATGTCAGTCCTGCTGCCTTGGCTCCGTGGCTTACCTTTGTCACTGGGGACAGATGCCAGCTCAATGGCACCCCGGTGCTCTTCACGGCTGGCCCTGCCAGAAGGCTGGGGGGATGCCAGGGGCACGGAAGGAGAGCTGGCAAGATTGCCTGGCTCCAGCAGTAGGAGGGAGTGATCACAGCTGCCATTCTGGGGAGGAGCAGGAGCACGGTGTCCATCAGGGACTTCAAGGATCTGACAGAGAAAGAAGGCGAGACTCTCAATGCAGGATCTTCTCAGGCCTACAGCACTGCAATGACCCCAAGGGTACTCCCCGCATCCTTCCTTTCAGCCTCTATTCAGAACACGCACACAATAGAACACCATGGGCTCGAGATCTTGATTTCCCTGACCTCAACTCCATTTCCCCTCAGTCTAAAGAAACCCCATTTCTCCTCCCATGGCACTTTGTTCTTTTCCCTCCTAGCACTGGCAGTCCAGTGTATCATCACATATTCATTTGTGCAGTGGATCAATGTGTCCCCCCACTAGTGTATAAGCCTTATGAGGGTAAGGACCTTCGTGGGCAGGGCTCCGGGAACACAATGGTGAGTGCTATATGCAGGGGGACACATATAGCACTGACATTTAGTGGTCTATGAGTGTGTCATTCACCCTCAGCAGTTCCTCTTCACCCTGCTCCTTCACAAGAGACAGGGCACCAAGATGTGCTGTAAGCCATCGCAGGGTGAGTATGCAAACGATTATCATGTATAAATACCTATTTTCTCCCTCCTTAATAAATATCAACAGTACTTGTACCCACAGCTCACTAAATTGTACACATGTGTTTTGGTGTATATGCAATCCTGCATATATCCAAATTAAAAATAARCCAGGAGGTAAATCATAAACCGAGGAGTGTGCCCATTAGAATTATATTAATACTGTCCAACTGGCATTCCCCAATTGTACTGTGTCAGTATAAAAATGTGCCTGAGACTGCAGAAAAGGTAGCACAGAATTCTGCCTGGGAGTGGGGCAGGGAGAAGGCTGCACAGGGGCAACTGGGCACGAGGATGGATGCGTGTTACCAGGTTAAGCTGGAAGGAGGAAAGTGGCGACAGGGCAGTGGCATGAACTGAGGTACAAATGGGTAAAGTTGCCAAAGATTCAAGGAATAGTGAGCTGGCAATGTGGCTGAAGAATGATGCCCTGCCTGCTGCTTCCTGCTGGGGACCCTCTCCTCTACCAATCCTTGCTCCTTTCCTCTATTCACCATCACAAAGCCTTCCCCAGGTACAGCCACCCCCTCTGCCACCTTGTGCTTAAGTCCACTTGAGACTAATGAGCTCCCTGTGTTGCTCTGGCAGGCAGGTGTTTGTCCATTCTTGTTTACACAGCTAGAGCCTGAGAGGCCTAGACGGGCACGCCCATCTGCACGCCCATCTCCCCTGACACCACCTGTCCACCTGTTGCTGCATACAAGGAGCAGCTGCCACTTACTCTCAGCAGTTCCTCTTCGCCCTGCTCCTTCACAAACACCTCCTCCAGCTCTTGGTTGAGCCCTTCCAGGCTCCTGTGCAGGCAAGGGCTGAGTCGCAGGACAGGAGACCCTGAGGGGAAGCTGGGAGGCGACGCCTGAGGCSGTAGCAAATGAAACAATTAGGTGGAGCTCCACCGAGACCTATCCAGCTATCAGTTCTGACCAGAGGGTAATAGTGTCCACACAGCAGGACCCAATGAATAAAGGACAATTTGGTGACAGTTACAGATTGTTATTGGCCCATTTGGTTTCCTCTGGGAGTTGGGACTTTGAGGTCTAGAGTGTGATTTTAGAGTCATTGYCTCAAATGCTCAGGGATGGGGTAGAGAACAGCAAGAAGCCTTTCCAGTGTCACTCAGATAAATCCAAGTTTGGACTAAAACTTCACCTGTCCCCCATGTGGCCACAAAGCATGCAATGTGGTGGGACTCAGTAGCCATAAGATCCAAAAGAACTCTGCCCACCAGGAGAGTCCACTCTGGAGGGAAACAGAGGGGACTGTGTCTGGGGAGGAAACACATACCCTCAGTGCTCCCCGCACAGCATGGTCCCCTTGGAGCGGGGAGCTCCGCTCTTTTTCCTTCCCACTGCGGCTCAGCTTTGTCCTCTGCAGTTGTTGCTTCAACTTGGTAATCTAGAGGCCAGAAAGAAGAAGAGCAGAAGCGAGTGAAGCCAAACAAAAATGTACTGGGTCCCTCCTCCCAGGTATGTCCTCTGTCACAGGCCCAAAGACACATAAAGGGACATGGAAGTTAATCTTCCATCTCAAAATAGCTCAGCAGTGATTAAAACCTGTGAAGATCAGTTCCTCCAACAAGGTGGATGTTTCATGAACCAGACTCTTGCATTCTTAAAACATTACTATGTATTTTATAAACAGATCAGTCTTTAACCATTTGAAAATATGCAACACTGGAACTTTTTGTCTCTTACAGATTGCAAAAGCATGGCATACTACTCCACTAATATCGGGAAACTGTTTTGAATGTCAATGGCCATACATTTTCAATAACACCAGCAGTCCTGAGACGGGAAGGATGGAAAGATTTCCCCCCATTTAAAACTATACCATGCAAAGATAGGTTCTCTAGAAGTCATACCACATTTCATCTTGACTCCATGCCCTGTCACAATTACAGAGTATCATCAACAAGTTTGGATATTATTCTTGTCACATTTGTAATGCTGGACCTTCTTGCCCCCAGCTGGCAAATGCTCACGGGATACAGAGTTGTAGAAATGTGAGCCTAAAGGGAAYTCAGAGAGATCTGCTGTCCACAGAAAACTTGTGAAGAAAAGTGAATTTGTCATTGTGGATCACTCATAACATGACTCCCCACTTTGTGTGAGTAACTTGCATACTCTGATCGTTAAAGACTTTTAAGTACTTTTTAATTTAGCCTTAAACTTAGCCTTAAACTCTCTTAGCTTTAAACTTCCAGGGCATTCACGTCATACTTTCTCATTGTTCTCAGCAATGAGGAGGACAGGAGCAACTTTCTTTGTGAAGGGGTTGAGAGTGAGTCCTGGCAAATTGATCCTCATGACATGTCGAGGAGCTGGATTGAGAGCTCTGAATTCCAGCCTATGACTCTAGACTCAACTTTGGTGTCCTGAGCCCTCCTGAAACAGAGGGAAGGCCAGAACAAAGCATTTAGGAACACATCATGAGTGAATAGTTAAGTGGTAATTGAGGTTGGGAGTTCCTAATTCCCTGGAACTTGTTCCCTATCTTCCTTCAGTTTCTGAACCACTTATGTGGCTCCAACCTCAAATGTAAAGTGAGAACAGCAGCATCTAYGGCCCTGTGCCTGGCTGCCAAAAGGCAACAGCAGCCCCTGGCCTGATCTTTCCCTAGCAGGAGGATCTGGGCTGCTGAGAGTAGGCACTGAGGGCCATCTCCTCAAGAAAATGCTGGGTGGAGGCAGGTGACACTGGAGGTAAAGTGTGGCTGCCCTTTGGAGCAGAGGCAGCTGGCCCATTCAGAGAGTCCAAGAGGGCAATTACCTCTTTTCGGTGGTCTGTGCTGCCCCAGGATGCTGAGCGCTTATGTGTGCAGGAGCTGGCCCGATCACCTTCTGGCTCTTGCCAGGACAGGGGTGTCTGTAGGGGAGAAACACAATGAGACTGAGCAGTTTCAAAGGCAGGCCCAGGAAGCAGAGTTTCCTGGGTAGGGGTGGTGGCTTGTGACGCCTTCTGTACCTGCTCATCAACCTCCTGTTGTGTTCTTCCAGGCAGGACCACCACGGGCACTGCCTCCTTCCTGGTGTACATCCTCCAGGAAACCCTCCTGATGCCCCGACAGGGCCAGCCTCTCTACTCTGTTCTGGCTTTCAAATAGGTTTTGTACCTACAGTTATTGCAGGTGCTCTCAATGGTAAGGACAAGTACTGTTCCTCCTTTCCTAACCAGCTCTCAAAGGGCACAAGCTCAGGGAACCTCTGCAATCTTTGTTCTCCATGTGCCTAGCACAGGCCTGGGAACCTGGGGAAAACAGTAAACAGATCCAGGGAGGAGTCAGTACTTGGTAAAATAGGAAAAAGGCCAACACCCTCCTACCCCCACCACTACTGAAGCAGGAGGCTCCTGTATAGAGCAGCACCTCAAGTTTGCTCCTTGATCTATTCCAGCACACAGAATGGGGCCCCACAGTCCTCCTGAATAAATGAGCCATGAGTCCTTTTCAGAAAGGAGGGAGCCAGAATTCTTAGCCCAGCCCTGATTTCWGACCCCTCTTGGCCTTATCATTTCTGGTCTTAGGCCCTCTTGCCCTTCACAAAGAAGGCCTCTTCATCCCCTATCTTCCTTCCCCTGCTGCATGAAGACAGGGGTCCAAGATGGAGGAAGGTTTGGGGGATTTGTAGAGCCACTTCCTGACCCCCCCCCCACTAAGGAAGGAAGCTGAGGGACCCAGATCTCTCCCCACCAGCAACATCCCTACTTCAATTCCAAGGGAGAGGCCTGAGGGGAACACTCCAGCGGCCCAGCTCTTCTCTGACTTGTGTGCATGCACTGTGAAAAACATGACAGTSTGGGAACTGTCTCCTCCAAGAGATCTGCTGGCCTCCCCCAAGAGGTTGCTGCAAACAGAGASGGGGAGGAGAGGGGAAAACACCACCACTCACCACCCAACAGCTGCTAAGGGGAAGCTCAGCAGGCAGTCTGAGCCGGATTGTGAGAGCAGACTGCCGGGTGTGACAGCTGTGTGGAGGGGGCCACTGGGGACTGAGTCTCCTAACTCTTCCTGCCCCCAGCTACCCACTGACCAGGACCTCTCTTAGGCTGTGCAACACGACCAGGGTGAGACAACCATCCTAACTTCCTTATCCTGATACTAGTGTCACAAGGGAGGACATCCAGAGATCCATTCCCACCATTCCTCCTTTAGGACAAGGGCAGACAGCATATCCTATAGGCCCATGGTGTAGGCTCTCTGGATGACACCGGCTCTGACAGTTTCTGGAAACCAAGCAGCTGGAATTATTCCACATGCCCCCCCCCCCCCCCCGTACATCAGCTCCTCTGAAATGGCTACAGGAGTGCTGAAAAGGGAGAAGGAAGCCCATGTCTCCCTCAGCCACCTGAACCCAGCAGACACACACGACCTCCCTTCCTAGGGTGCCAAAACCAAGCCTGAAAATGACTAGTTCTGTCAAAGCTGAGTCCCATACAAACCTGTCATCCCTTGAAAGGTGGCAGGGGCCACAGARGAGGGATGACAACAGCTAAGGAGGTGGTGCCCATCCCTTCCTCCAGGAAGACACTGTGCTCACAGAAGGGCAGTGAGAAGGAGAAAAAATAGCCATGTACAGCCTGTCCCTGGCTACTAACTAAACTCTTCTCAGACTCTTTATCTATCTTCCTTCTTCTGGGATGTGTGAGGGGTGGAAGGAGGACATGTGGGACAGCACAGGATTTAGAAAGGATATGAAAATGTGGCCGCTGGCATCAGCTCCTCCCCACCTCTGCTCAGGAACACCACTGTTGCCTACTCTGTGGAACTTCCTGCTAAGGCCTCGCTTGGTCTCAACACCACTCCATGGCCATAGGTACCACMATCTCACCTTGCATCCCAGGGGTTCTGTGTCTTGCCCAGGCAAACCCATCTCCAGCTCCTTCTTCATACTCACCCCTTGGCCTCTAAGCCTGGTCTGCCCACTAAGAGGTCCACCTGACAGCCATTCCCAGTCTTGTTATCAGGGGGCCTGTCCTCACTTGTCTGCCTCGTACTAGGTGCTCCTCTGCCTCATGTCTCCCTGGGCACATGGGCACGGTGTACATCATTCATGCATTCAATAGTTACTGAATGCATACAACGTGCCAGGTACTGATCTAGGTGCTAGGGACACAACAGTATACAAAACAAGAAATATCTTGGACCCCTGAGTTTATATTCTAATTGAGGGCAGAGTTTAAATAGTGATTTGTGCGAAAAAGAAAAATAAGGCAAACAAAATGGATAGGAACACTGGGCAGAGGGACAGGATTTGAAATGCCAGGGAGGTCCTCAGTGAATAGGTAACATCTAAATAAAAACAGGAAGAAGGTAAGGGAGCAAACCACGTGGGTATGTGAGATAGGAGTGACAGAGGGAAGAGCAAATGGAAAGACCCAGAGGCAGAGCAAGGCCAGTGTTTCAGAATCATTAGGTGGCCAGGGTGGTGGGAACAGAGTGAGGTAGGGGCAGAGTAGCAGGAATAGAGGTCAGTGTGACAGGGTGGAAAATCTTCAGAGTCAAAGGGGGATTTTTATTTTCTATTTTAGGCTTTTCAAGATTTTATAAACATTCTCTAGTGCTTCCTGATCTCTACTGGCAACAGTATTGGTTCTTCTAATTATAAAATGATGTATGTCCACTGTAGGATATCAAAAACTTTTGAGGCAAACCTAAGTGTATCTGGGGGGCTAGGGTTGTTGCTCAGTGGTAGAGCACTGACGAAAGACAAAGCCTATCACATGTGAAGCACTGGATTTTATCTTTAGCATCACATAAAAATAAATAAAATAAAGGAATTATGTCCATCTACAACTAAAAATATTTTTTTTTTAAAAAGTAAGTGTCTCTGCTGTATTTTGGTGTCACCTCAGTGGGGTATGTAAGATCATAAAATGGTTTTATTTTTTCTAATATTTCCTCCAACCATATTCTGTTGAATTGCCCAGAATAACTGATGGAGGGAGAAAAAGAAAAAAAAAATCCCAAAGATTTAGAAACCTACAAATGTTACCTTATATGGCAAAGTTTTTGCAAATGTGATTAAGTTAAGGATCTTGAGATGGGAGGATTATTCTGGAATCATCTGGGTGGGCCCTAAATGCTATTATAAGTATCCTTGTAAGAGGAGCAGAGGAAGACTCTACACACACAGAGGAGGACAAAGCGATAACCACAGAGGAGAGATTGGCTACAAACCAAGGGATGCCAACAGCCACTGGAAGCTGGATGAGGCAAAGAACAGACTTTCCAAAAGCCTCCTCAGGGCGTGTGGCCTTGCCAACACCTGACCTTGGCCCACCAACACTGAATTTGGACTCTGGCCTCCAGAATTATGAGAGAATTTCTGTTGTCTTAAGCCACTAAATTTGAAGGGATTTGCAAAAGCAGTCCCAGAAACCTGGCATGAAGGCACTCCTGCTTGAAGCTGTTGGCATGCTGGCRTTGAGTATTATTAGGGCAGTTGTATATTTAAGTGGGGCTTTAAATCCTTCAAAAGAACTGGGTGCATCAAAGTGGGGCTGGGGTTGTGGCTCAATGGTAGAGTGCTTGCCTGGTGCATGTGAGGCACTGGGTTCGATCCTCAACACCAAATTAAAAATAAATAAATAAAATAAATATATTTTTTAAAAASTGAGGACCAGGGGCTGCAAACAGAGCTAGTGTACACAAGGCCTTGAGTTCCATCCCCAGCACTGCAAAAAAAATAAAGAGTGGGAATCATGGCCACTTATTTCCAGCACCCCTGAAAGGACAGGACTCTCCTCTTGTGGATCTCGCCACAGAAGTCTTGATCAAGATCTCCTTAGGGCATAGAAGAAAAGTCACTGTGAAAGGCAGCCACCCTTCAAAGAGGTAGCCATGCTACATGGCAGCACTCTGAGTACTCATTCCAGATGACCCTTTGGAAACAAGCATAGCTTGAGCACAGAGACCAAAAAGTCATTTGTCCAGGGGACTCATGCACCAGAACAGACTTATTTCACAGCCTGGCCTGGGGCACAGCTGAAAGAGAAACAGGGCTGGTCACTAACCATGAGTGGCAGCGACAAGCTCTGCAGCTGGTACTTAGATTGCACAAAACTGGATATGGTCAGACCAAAGCCTTGCCTAGAATTCTGAGGTGCCAGCATAACATGTGGGAGGATAACTGGGCCTGGGGATAGAGCTCTTCCCAAAGAGCTGCCTAATATAGCAAGAAGGAGGGGCAGGATAGAGCAGGAAACCCTCCACACAGCAATGCCTTTCTTGGCCTCCAACCTCACTAAGTTTCTACCAGGACTCCATGTCCAAATGCAGGGAGAATCCTGGCCTCACGATCTCCAAAGAGCCTGGTACCTGAGTAGGTTTATGTAGAGCTGGGCTGGGCCCTGGGAACAAAGYCCACTGTACCTATTGGAAGTGCAGAAAAAACAATGGCTGGCCTGGAAGAGATGCTCAGGAACTAACTATGCAGTGAGCTGATACTTAGCAGGGACTCAGTCCCTTTGGGCTCTGGCCAATCAAAAAGGCAGGAAAAGGTTCTGAGGGTGGCCCACTGGCCAGCACTGAGAACCCTGGCTGTACGTGGCCAAGGCCACCATCTCTGGCCCTACCATGATTAGGCAGCCCTCAGATTTTTCCATCATGGCCCCATGTTCAAATATTTGCTGCTGTTGTCAAACCATATACTGAACAACTGGTCCTGGTCACCAATTTGGAAAACAGGCGCTGTGCCCAGGCCCCCACACCCACAAAGAAAAACATTTTTTAAAGGCCTGTGATGGTCACACTGAATTATGTGTCATCACTGAACACTGAAGCACTGGCCTGGGAAAATGGGAGGATGGCATGCAGGTAGGGAAAACGCACAACAGGGAGTCCCCCTGCAAACCGCATGCTCACCTGCACCCTCAAGACATTCTATGAGGTTTTTCAAGGACTTAGGCTATGTTTTTTCCCAAAAGGAAGTCAGGGGTGGCGAAAAAAGGAACATCAAAGCTTCCCCATCTCACCTGGAGAATGCAGAGAAGTAGGGCTGCAGAGGAGTGGAATGGGGTAGGAGCAGGCAAGGTCCCATCTGTGGGCAGGATGAGACCAGTAGGGGAACTTGTCTCAAACAGTCATCCCAGCTGTGGTGAGACCACTTCCTCCCTCCAGAAGAGTGCAAGAAGACTCAAATGTTTTGCACAGCAAGAAGGAAGAGGGGTGACCACAACCACTGGCATGTTCTGCCATTACTGGCCCTGGTCTAGACACAGTCACTAGAAGGGGCAATGCAAAGCACTTGGTGGCCACCTCTGTGTTACCAACTGACCTGGGGGAATATGGGCCAGAGAGGAAAATGTATTCAAACAAACCTGGGGAATTCTGAAAAAGTGCTTCCAGATACAAAGAAACTTCCTACAGACAAGGGTGACACCATATAGGAGGCTTCCTAGCCTTTTCTGGCCAGTCACTGTGCATCCAGCTCCTGCTGGACCCATCTTCCTTGTACTCACTAGGCTGATCTCTGGGACACCTGGTCATTCCCTCTCCCATTATTCCTCCTGGCTCAAAACATGTTGCCTCTCCAAAGCACTTCCTCCCCAGTGATCACATTCACACCTCTTCCTCCTTCCTAAAAAAATCAATTTCCCAAACAAGATCCATCCATACTTCTCCCAGTCCTGTTGCCAAGTACTCGGGTAACCAGCTCTGCATGTCAGACTGTGAATTGCCTGAGGACAATCCTTTGTATCTGCCTAAGAGCTTAAAACAGCCAGGAAGTGAACACTGGCGTTGTTGGCAACACTGGAATAGACTCAAGAACTAGGAGCTTTTAACTCCATCTTCTGCCCTCCAAAGAGGCCTTGAGTACAGAGCAAGCCAGCTATCTAATGGCAGGAGTTCTGTTCTTGCTGCCTTGGTCTGAAAACTTGGTTGGAAAGTGCAGGGACCTTGTTCCCTTTAGGGGATTCAGAAGAAGAGGAGCTGCTTAGCCTTAAATATAACTATGGCTCCTCCCCCTAGGAATGCTGGGGCTGATGTGGTCTCTAAACATACAATCTGGCACTGCCTCTGTGTTGGGGAAGTTAGGCAAGTAAGAGAGCAGCAGTAAGTACTGCCAGTTATGCTAGATAAAGCGGATAATAAACTTCTACACTGCTAGTGCTAAGAGAAAAGGGCAGGAAGTGGGAGTAGGGTTGGGCATAGCACTTCCTAGCTCAAAGCAATTGGGGGAAGTCTGGTATCCATCCATTTTTAACAGTTTAAAAAAGCTTTCTATGGGTTGGGGGATACTGAAGTTCAGTGGTAGGATGCTTGCCCAGCATGCCCGAGGCCCTGGGTTCCATCTCCAGCACTGCAAAATAAATAAATAATAAAGCTATCAAGGACTTCAGTAGTCTCGGTCTCTGTGTACCTACCAATAAAACCTCTCTTCATCTCCAACCGTTCTGGGTGATCTCCCTGTGCTCAGTAGGAAAGGAACATGCTATTGAAGGAGCTGTCAGGAGAACCATAGGCTTTCACAGTGCAATACCAGCATTGCAGAAGGTAGCTCATGCCAGGCCAGGGGCCTCAAGCAGGAATTTGAAGGGAGCCCAAAACCTAGAAGCAGAAAATTCCCAGAAGACCAGGAATGAAAATGGGCAGAGCACATATTTTGGTTTGGATGCGTATGCTGATCAGAATTCTCCCATCTCTTGCCTGCAGCCACAATATTGACAGGTTGCTAAGAGTTCCTCGAGGGCTGGAGCCCATCCCAGGAAAAGAGGAAAGCTGTATGGCTGGGCCTTGCCAGACCCATGGAGGCGCATCGCTGACCTCTGTCTTGCTGTGGCAAGAAGCCCAGACTTGTTATATAAAAGATCTGGCCTACAGCTGGAGCCTGAGCAAAAACACGCAGCCTGGAACCCACGCCTCTCCACCCAGCCAGGGAACATCTGAGGCCAACCCTTCTTGCACTGACAAAGAGAAAGTTATCTAAGGGGTAGGATGGTGACTTCCTAGAAGGCTGGCAGCAGGAAATGACAGAGGCAGAGATGGGTGGGCTACACAGAAACCTGCCATCTGGCAAAGCGGGAGCCATGGTGAGTCCATGTACTCATGTCCTGTTCCTCCAGGAAGCCTTCCCTGACTACATTATTTGGCCTGAGATTTCTCTAAAAAGAGAAAGGGACATGTGTTCCCAGGCCCATTAGGGAGGAGCATAACCTAGTTGGCTTGCCCTTGTCAAAGGTTAAAGGACACTGGGCTCCCAGGAAGTAGACCCACTTTCTGTGCTACCTAGAGTGTATTCTCTTCATCTTCTACCTGAAGCTCCAAGGAGGGCCATCAATTTTAACTTCTTTTGTTTAAATTCTTGTTGGTTCAAGGGAGTATCCCCAGAAGAATTCTCCTCTAAACTTTGCTAGACATTTGGCCCCATCTCCGCCCTTTGGCTGGCTGCTCACTGGCCTTCATGGAACTGGAATCCAGGCTCAGAGAGGCCAAATCTTGTCTTCATTTCCTTATTCTCCATTCCAACATGCCAAGAACAGGACTGGGTATTCAAACATTCACTAGTGACATTTGAAAATGAATCTCATAAAAAATAAGTAAAAGAACCGACATGATGTGCTCAGGAGAGGATGTAGAGTGAGCTGCAAGGGTAGGTACGYTGGCATGTCACCTGGCCGTCAGGATGCCTACAAATAGGCAGAGCAGGCAACTTCACCTAACATGCAAAGAAAGAGCTGACTTGTCCAACAGCATCCGGAAGAGAGGGCTGACCTTGAGCCGAGTGTCCTTTCCTCCCTGCTTACACCTGTCTGGGAACATCCATTTGTTTTAAAGGTGAATTGCTTTAAACTGCATCAGAAGAGAGACTTGCTTCCTACCAACTCAACTGCTAAGAATGTTGAAGTCCTGAATCAGATTACGAAATATCTTTGTATGAGATGATTTCTTGCTTAGGCTAATACTATTTTACTCAAAAATTGACAAATGGACTGGATGGTCTATGAGACTTCTTCCAAGCTTAGGGCTTTATTTATTTATTTATTTTTAATACTCTAGATGAACMCAATATCTTCATTTTATTTATTTATTTTTATGTGGTGCTGAGGATCGAACACAGGGCCTTGAATGTACTAGGTGAGTGCTCTACCGCTGAGCCACAACCCTAGCCCGGCTTTTTTTTTTTTTTTTTTTTTTTAGCACCAGAGATTGAACCAGAGGCACTTAATCACTAAGCCACATCCCCAGCCCTTTTTAATTTTTATTTTGAGATAGGGTCTCACCAAGTTGCCAAGGTAGCCTCAAACTTGTGGTCCTTCTACCTCAACTTCCCAGGTAGTTAAGCTTAAGTTGTTGTTGTTGTTATTATTATTTTAGTTGTAGATGGACACAATACATTTTATTTATTTATTTTTATATGGTGTTGAGGATCAAACCCAGTACCTCACATGTGCTAGGCAAGTGCTCTACTGCTGAGCCACAATCCCAGCCCAAGCTTAGGATTCTTAATGAGAAGAATAAACATACTGAAGGAGAGGAACCTGGGCTCCACAGGACTCAAAATCCCAGTCTGGGCTACAGGCAAGGAATAACTCCATTATCTGAGAACTTTCCACTCCTAATTCTCCAGTGGGATTGATTCTGGCTCAGCATATTTTTTGGCCACTTCCTCTGGCTATCTGGGGAATGCAAACTCAATTGAATGTTGGCCTTAGTTTAATTTTAGCAAGGTAAATCTCATTTTTTTAAAACCYAGTCTAAATTCCAAAGTCAACTGTTGATTACCTACATAAGTACTGAAAGTCAAACCGAAAACCCAGATTGACGTCTCCCTTCCACCAGTCAGATGGAATGCAAACTCATTTTCATGTAAGTTTACAAAAAAAAAAAAAAAACACACAAGCTGGTAAACAGCAGAAGATGAAAAGCTATTTACATGTATAACCAAAACCAAGGACAAATCATCTCAATGACTGAGAAGGGTATGAAACCAGAGGCCTCCACAGCCAGCCCTCCCACCCCATCCTGATCCCATTAGGAGCGAGTTGCATTACCTGGGTGGCCTTGTCATTGGTACAGCAGGTGAAGGCCCCATCAGCATCTCGTGGCCACTGGCCCAGAAGGTAGGAGCTGAGGATGGTGTCCAGGGAGAAGGTACGTCGGACCTGGGGTGGCTGAGGCCTACACACTGACTTTTCTGGGGCCACCGAACATGGGACACTGGCTGGAAGAGAGCACAGCCCACACACCTTGTCATCAGCATTAAGGAAGGAGACATGGCAACCGGCCTTCTCTCCTCTAGGAAGCCTTGCCTGGTTGCTATGCCTTCACTTCCCACCTAGAGGAATGTGAAGCAGCCTACAAAAGCACAGTCTGTCAAGGGGTTTCCTGACTTAACCGCCTAGGCTTTATCATTGGAAGCAATTTAGACATTTTGTTATGGACTTCAGAGTTACTTTATACCTGTCCTCTGTCTTTTTCCTGTTCCTAATGCACATGAACCATGAACAGTTTCCTGAAACTAGCAGTGTTTTCCATCATTAGAGGGAATTCTAAGTGTACAAAAACCAAGTTTTTTCCCATCTTTGGTGTCTGTTTCCCCTTCCTCCTCCAGCACACATTGCAGGGCTCCTGCACACTGCTCAAAGTCAGCTCAATTAACTGAAGGATTCTTCATACTCCCTTTAGAACAGTAAGCTCCAGGGAATCTAGTGACTGCGAAGAGGAAAATGACATAACTACTTTCAACTCTCTAGGACTGAGGAGTCCAGTTTAAGAAAATATCCAAGTCATTTGGTTCTCTCCTCTGTCTCAATAGGATAAAATGAGCAATTATAAATTCATTCATTTTAATCTACCTTGGTTAAAGATTTCTGGGAGAGGGCAAAAGTTGAAACTGTTGATAAAATGCAAGGGTTCTGGAATCATCTGGAAGTTTCAATGGTCTGAACTGACCCTGTTTTCCATGGCCACATTAAAAACACTCCACTATCTTAAGATCTATAAAGACTCTCTCCTTTAAACAGAATAAAATGCTTTTACATCTGTAGTAATCCCTTGATAATTTATGTGTATATTAAGCACAGCAAAAAGAACTAGGAACTGTAGGTATAAATAGACTTGAAGAGTTTTATATTAAAAAGACACTAAAAAGTTGGCAATTCCTCAAAATGCTAAACATAGAATTCCCTTATGATCCAGCGATTCTGCCTGTAGGTACATACACCCCCCTCCCCCCAAAATAAAAGCAGGGCTTGAAAAGGTGTCTGTGTACCCATGATCACAGCATCACAAATCACAAGAGCCAAACAACAGATGCAGCCTATGCTACAACACAGATGATGGCAGGTGAAATGAGCCAGACATACAGGCAGAAATCATGAGTCCATTTATTCAAGGTGCCTAGAAACCAATTCACAGGGACAGAAAGGAGAATAGAGGTTACCAGGGGTTTAGGAGGAGGGAGAATGGAAGTTTTTTAATGGATATGAAGTTTCTGTTTGGGATGATAAAAAAAAAAAGTTCTGCAATTGGCAGCGGTGGCCAGGCCCACAGTCCTAGCTGCCCCAGAGGTGGAGATGGGAGAATCACTAGAGCCCAGGATTTCAAGACCAGCCTGGGCAACAAAAGGAGACCCCACATCAACAAACAAAACTAAACCCCCAAAAGTTCTTGAAATGCACAGTAGTTATGGTTACACAACCGTGTCAATGTATGGCAAATTTTATATTATTTATATTTTACCACAACAAAAGACATGCCATCACCTTCTCCAAATTCATTTAAGTAGGTATTTATGAAAATCTTGACATATTTGTAATCAATATAAAAGGTACTACATTTTGTTCTATCCCATTCCACTCTTTTTACAACTCCATTTCCAAGTATCAATAATCTACATATTTGTCATTTTTAAAGACTGTATGTGATTGATATATCACCAGGTTGACGTATGGTAATTTGCTCAGCCATTCCCACATTAGTGAACATTTGTGGAATTCCCCTCCAATTTGAATATATTATCAATGTGATTGTAAAGCCAACTTTCACTCTCATTTTTTATCTATTCCCTGGCATATTTCTAGATCATCTCCCTCAGCCGTCATACAATATTGGCTCAGTTAAAAGAATTTATAGGGCTGGGGATGTGGCTCAAGTGGTAGCGTGCTTGCCTGGCATGTTCGGGGCGCTGGGTTCGATCATCAGCACCACATAAAAAAATAAAATAAAGTTGTTGTTTGTGTCCACCAAAAACTAAAAAATAAATATTAAAAAAAATTCTCTCTCTCTCTCTCTTAAAAAAAAAAGAATTTATAAATGACTTCTAAATACAAAGGCAGTAAGTATGAATTGTGAAAGTGTCAGGAAACATATAAACAAAAAGAACAAATCTCAACACCCAGAGATAACCACTGTCACTACTGTGAGATATTTATCCTTGTACTCCTTACCTTCTGTGTGTGTGCAYGCATGTGTGTATGCTTTAGAATTAAAAAATGGTATCATACTGTATATACTATTTCACTGCTTTCACTTTATATCATCAACTTTAAGTGAATACATACTGACTACAACATATCATTTTAAATGATGTTAACATTTCCATGTTAAAACCCTTCACAAACTGTTTCAAAGATGGAAGTCAAAAGCTTCATGTTCTGGTCTCACTACCTCTTTACAACTCACTCCTTTCTAGGTCTTGGACCAAGTACATTACACACCACTTCCCACCACCKTCAGGGCCCTCCCTCCTGAGGTTTTGCCCAACGTTTAAATATGAGCCACCTGCCAGGGCCTGCCTAACTGCCTCCACYTCCAGTGCGCCTTCCGGATCATGGGAATCCCCTGCAAGGAGAGTCTCAGGACATTCTGAGTTTCCTCAGTATACTTTGTACTCTTTCAGTACTTATCATTCTTTCTCTTGGGTTGCAGGTATCTGTGACTCCTAGATAATAAACAACCTGTGGCCAGAGGACTGGCTTTGATTCATGTTTATATCCCCCACAGTGTCTACAGCATAGGGCCAGCAATTAGTAGGTACTCAAGAATTTGAATAAAATTGAATAATTGAGCCGGGCACAGCAGCACATGCCTGTAATCCCAGTGGCTTGGGAGACTGAGGCATAAGGATCGAGAGTTCAAAGCCAGTCTCAGCAATTGCAAGGTGCTAAGCAACTCAGTGAGACCCTGTCTCTAAATAAAATACAAAATAGGGCTGGGGATGTAGCTCAGTRGTTAAGTACTCCTGGGTTCAATCCTTGGTACCCCCCTCTCCAAAAACTTGAACAATTGATACTAGTAGGGATACTAATTAATACCATAGATCCTGAGTTTGCCTGTCATACACATCCAAACCCAGSCCAAACCCAAACCCCATGAGCTACTTGACTTTCTCTCAAGTCTGGAARACCCAACCTCTTTCTTGCCTTCCCTGAAATCTCATAGCCCAGTAAGTTAGTGACAGGTCTGCTGGTTCAAGCCCCAAYTTTACCTCCTATACAGCATTTCAACTATTCATTTTCCTGGGCTGGCAATCCGAATATTTCTGGGAGCTTCTGGCCCACATCAGCAGCTGGCTCACAACTGAAACRCTGTCCTGTGGGCCTCCAAAAGCAYCTACAAGAGCCCAGTGATGAGGGAGGGCCTYTGGAAAGCAGATATGCAAAATTACATGACAGATAACCAAAGAGGCAGGTGGGAGGTAGGCGAGTGAGTAAATAAGATGAAGGATAGAATGTTCTGATTCCAGAAGCCAAAAGGAAGGAGACTATGACTCCAGAGCTGAAAGACAGAAATGGGGGAAAGTTCTTGAAGCTACCTGTCCCATCCTCTCAAATGAGTCCCTGCAAGAATCTCCTTTAGGTGTTTTTTTTTCCCCATAATTAAAAATATAAAGTACTATCTCATGTTCATATGGTACTCTCAAGCTTTGCCCCATCCACAAAAAGTCCTTTGTGTGATATAATCTTTTATTCTCCTGTCAGTTCTAGAAGCGGCTGAGGAGAGGCTGATAAGGAAGACAGGCACAGAGCAGCTCAGATGGGACTCTACCACCCAARGAGTCGCAGAAACCGAGATCTAAATCCAAGCCTCCTTCCTATAAAGTCAGTGTTCTCTCATCTGTTCCCAAATCTCACATCCTCTAGCATTGGGAACCTGCTGGGACACCCGCCTGGATACCTGGATGCTGGATTGCATTTTTTTTTTTTTTTTTAGCTTCTGTTCAGGAATGGAAAACAAAGAGGAGATGGCAGGCCTGACCTGGGGTTTTCTGGTGACCTGTTTTTATTTTTTATTTTGTGTATTTGATTGTTTCTTGAGGAAGTCTTTAAAACCTAGTATAAAGGATTCTATCTCCTTGGGACAATTTTAACGACACTCATTTTGCATGAATTCTCATCACCCTCATGTTCCACCCTATTCCATGAATTTTTGTTGGGGTCTAACCTCAAGAACAATAATCATAGTGGTACTTTGCCCCAGTACTGGCTGGGCTAGGATAGGGTGCACCCAGAATCCTGGAATTTGGTGTGAGAATCCAACCACCCATTTTGCTCAATTCCTCATTTTTTTCCAACCAAAGTTATCTGCAAYGATTCTGCAGACTTCAGGGGTCCTGACTTGCTCCTCCATATAAAAAACTTACACAAATAGTAAAAAGAAAGAAAGAAAAAAAAACGAAAGAAAAGAAAAGAAAAAGGAAGGAAGGAAGATAGGAGAGAAAGAAATGAGAGAACAAGTACTGCCTCACTCTCCACAGCAGACCTGCAAAGCTCTCACTGTATCTGGCCCAATTGGAAGTCTTGCCTCAGTTTCTCTTCCTTAAATGAGGAGTCAGCTAGACCTCAGCCACACCTAAGCACAGTACCCTGGCTCCACTCCTAGCTGGCCACAAGACAGAATTTCTACTGTCTCAGAACCCTCAGCACGGCTCCATTGTCCCTCCCAAATCCCCAAATTCTTGGCATGTCCAGCCCCTTAGAGGAGGGTAAAATGCCATGTTTCTTATGTGCCTAGGAAACAGAGGGGGCACTTTTAAAAAGATTAGATTTTGATAGGGAAAAATAATCTACTCCTTCTTTTATAAACCTCCACATGGTTTGATAAGYACCAGCTTCTTTGGACAACAAAACTAATTAAGAACTAAACCAAGATGTCAATTTCCCCCAAATGGAATATAAATCAAAGCCCAAATCAGGCACTGGTGTGTTCCCATGCCTTCCT